TGTTTAAGCGGGTGAAACTTACATTCTCTTCATAACGTTCGTGTCGCAGTAAACACAAAAACGTAGAACAATCGACGTTTAAACTTTGCAAACCAAATGTTTAAGCTTAATTTATAAGCTTACAAAAAAACAACACAGACATAATTTGCAAACGTGATGGCGAAAAAGCTAAAAGTTTGGCTGAATAATAAACTTAACAAACGTTTACGCTGCACTGTTGTAATAAAATTCTTCCGTATTTTCATAACTGAGTTAGTATTAACTTTCTTTGTTTTTAAGTGCCCAAACTACTTTGAATTTCTAAAGTGTGGTAAGCGAAGTCCCCATTTTAAAATTCTGGAAATTCCTGGGGGGAGGAAGGGTCATCAAAGACCCCCTGGAACGGAAAATCCTGGGGGTGGGGGGGTGCAAATCAAAGTGTCTTCCGTGGTGGGGGTATGGATATTTTCTGGAACCACACAAGTAAGCTTACACCATCATGAGCCATGGTATCAATCATTAAATTCCTTTTTTAAGATTTAAAGATTGGAAGAATTTATCTTTGGTTGAGGCTCTAAACAAGATTGAACAAAATATTTAGCACTGTAATATTATTGTGATGTACTTAAGATGTGGTGCCCATTCAGGGATGTGTTTTCTATATTATCTGAAGTGTACATATATCCACACATCCCTTACAAAGTTAGATAAGACTAGTTTTAGATGAGATGTGTTAGTCTTGTCGTTAAGAGGATCAAATGCAGATTCAAGTGGTAACTTGAGCAGCATTTTGACAAATGTCAATAGCAATTAAATTGAGACCTATGGTATAATTTATGATATTGAATAGAGGAAAATAGTATCACTCAAGATGTGTATAGGCAGCAAAAAATATCAGAGACTTTTTGAGAATTAATTTGAAATATATACTGGTACAGTTCACATTCAATTAGTGTCATATCAATTATCCTTACATTATCAAGGCTGTCATTAAAGTTTTAAGAGGCTGGTCTCTTAGGGAAAGTAGCTGGTCATTAATCATACAAATCCTCTTATATTAAAATCTAAGTTTACAAATTTTGTTATATTTGACTCAGTAGATTTTACTGCGATAACTGGCTACTAATGACAGCCCTTAGATACATGTTTGCTAAGGTAAAGGGGTTTGTAGTGTGAGGTGGTGAAATTTACCAAACTGTGTGAATGAAGCAACTTCATTAGTTAAACTATTTTCTTCACTCACCAAGCAAATTGGTCAGTGAGTAACAAGACTCAGACCCTGATGTTTTATTTGCTGTCTTTTAAAAAAGCTAGAACTTGTCTTTGCATCGTCTGAATTCCAAGAATAATAGTCTATTTCTGTTATTTAAGTCTATTTTTAGGCATTGAAACTGTTTCCTGTTGTGTTACAACAAATGGCAAGGATGGACATGGACGGGCCAACCTTTTCAAGTTTTAATAATATGCCTGCAAAACTCACCAAAACATTAATCATGGTTTAATCATGGTTAGTGCTCCCTGCCTGATGAAATTTGTTTCTTATCATCTTCATTACTCTGCAGGATCATTTTTTGTATAAGCTTAAGGTACTAAGTAATGCGTTCAGCACAGAATTAACCTAAAACAGCAGTATCCTCATGGCATACAATTCATGTAGCCCCTCAAGTCCTAATATCAACATACAAATTCTCCTGACTGATCTCCATACATTTCCTTAAAGAATTAGTGAGAAGATTTTGATAAAAGATCAAAGCATTTTTCCTTTGGTGATCATTTTATTACTTCCCACACCTTCTTCTCTTGATAATACATTGATAATGTTAGAGAAAAATAATATTGATGTTGGTCACTATTGGGACTTAAAGGGTTAAGCAATGGCTGTGTTGAGTACATCATTTTAGTTTAATATTTTACTTTTCTTTTTAAATTTCCATTATTGTGCTAGCCAGGTCAAATAATTGAAATTTTTATTATTTTGTTCTTCTTGGCTTTCTTAAAGAAAAACTCTGGTGCATAGAACCATCTTCTAGAGTTTGCTTATACTCGGGATTCTACAGATGTAACTAATATTCATGATTAGGTTTTAATTTAAGAAAGACAGAACTGTAAAAATATTGGAAATCTTTTCTTCATCTTGAGATGTTACAATATACAAGGAAGGGTTTTGTTCAATATGAGTTCCTATTAAAAGTCCAATCAGTACTTAAATTTCTCCTGACAGTTTTGGCATGTTTTCAAAATTGTTCGGAAACATGCAGGGGAAATGTTAAAGTACTGAATTTATATTTTTTACTACTGAATGTTCTTATATTTTCACTAAATTAACTTGACACATTTAATTTTAAAAAACTTAATAAACTGGGCTCTCAAATAGTAGTCTGACATTTCAGACTATCAAAACACGAGAATGCAACGGCAATTTGGCTCTAGCAAAGGAGAAACTTCAACCGAAACCTTCGTCAGTTGAAAGTGGACCTTCCACCGACATGTCCAAGAAAGAACTTCCCTCTACGTCTGGCTACACTGATGCTCCACCGCCATATTGTGAAGCGATGGAAGGAGCAATGTCTTTGCCTACAACTCTTCCACCTCCCTATGTGAGCCAGGATAAGGAAGCTCTTTTGGGTGAATTAAACGCTGTCTTTCCGAGTGACACTGAAGAGAGATGTTGTACGTGTTTCGATCGAATTCAACCAGACAAAAGTGAGGGCTTCAGCGGAGAAATGGTCTGGTTGGGATTAAAGGTAAATATACAGAATTAATACATGAGATAATCACTTCTTAATGATATAAGAAAACTAAGTTCAAATCAAATATTTTTGCATTCGATGCCTTTCACTAATATAAGTCGCTTAAGTAGGGAATCTCCTCGCAACTGAACAGGGTAAATTGTGATCAGATTCCACTCTAAACAAACTCGTTGGTGGCATTTCATTGATGTTGAGAGAAGCTCGGGATTTCTTTATCAGACCGTGATAGTTTTTTATGTGATGGCTAGTTTTTTATGAACAGAGATAAATAGTTGTCACTAGTTTGTTAGATGAAATGAATGTATTATATTGACTATCATGCACTGGATATGGTGTAAGGCTATCATTCAGACTTGACTGAATTTTTGTAGCTTTAAACTTCAATGTCGAACATGTGGTAGTGTCAAGAATTTTGATTAAGTGCTTTTAATACAACTGGCTTGAAATGAAAATTAAGAGTTATTTGAGCATGTTGGTGTCATAAGGCTAACTACAGTGTACTTTAAAACTGTGAAAGGTTTGAACCCAGTAATTTCATAAGTAAATTGAGCATGATCATCCAGGTAAACGTAGCCGTGAATAGGGCTGTTGTTGACAGTGACTGACTGGTTGTCAAAACATCAGTCACTGCATTAACAGTCCTATTCAGGACTACATTCACCCAGATCATCATGCTCAACTTACTTATGACAGTGTACTTTGTTAGGGAAAGTTACTGAAGTACACCTCATTTAATATGACTTTCCATTGTAAGTGAGCTTATATATGCGAAGATCACTAAGCAAGATGGTAATGTAAAAAAAATGTAAATTATGTGAATCCTATTTTATAGTAGAAGCAAGCTTAGGTGCTCTTAGTCTAGGCCATGACTTTGAATGCTGACACTCAGTTTTTTCATTTACTCTTCCTCCACGCTCCCATATCACATGACAGTTGCATCTTTTTTATTCTTTGATCAAGTTGAAAATTCACTTCCTATGATCCTTTTAAGACAAAGACTGTGGGATTGCTGAGTAGGGGAGGGGGTGCAACTGGTATAGGAACTGTGAGACCTGTTTGTACCCATCCCTACTGGGTAGGTGTTTGTCCACC